GGGGGGGGGAGGTGTTTTACAAGGTGTTTGTTTTATTCCTTTGTACTTTGTTAGTTTAGCTGGTCCTGCTGAATACCAGATGTCAGGTTTTTCATTTCAACAAGTGGAGGGGGAATGATAAACTCCATGTCTTTTTGGAAACCAAAGGAGAAAACCGCAAGAAGGAAAATGTTGAAAATTATCTCTTTTTGAGTAAGCCAGGATAACTTACAAATAGTCACAGTTAGCCACCTTACAGTTGCATAAGAAAGGTCTTGGGGAACCTAGTACAATTATTGCAGAAGCCACGATGTCCTGCTGCTCTATAAATCTTCTGAATTTCCTGTGGTGCTGTTGTCCTAATAAAGGCTTGCTGTTAGATGTAGAAAGCTGTATCTGACCTCGCCTCTATCCCACCTATGTGGGATAAAATTCAGTGCTGCCTAAGCATCTATAAATATACAGCATTTATGTATAATATATAGCAGGATAATCAGCATCTTCCCACTGTATAAGATTCACACACATACGTGATGTAAGAGAGTCACTGCGGCCAGCATTAAGGTTCTCCTTCCTGTGGGGAAGTATAACCACACACTTTATATCGCTCATACATTGTAGAACTAGTTAAAAAGAGCATGTTCAAGTAAAGGGACAGTTGCAATTTTAGGAAATCAAGAAGGAATTCACTTTGTGGGCTTCCCTTATCCTTTGCAAATCCTGTAGGATCTTTGGTGACCACAGAGGGTAAGAATCTCACCAGTTTTGTCGCATCAAGAAAATCCTGCACAGCTGCAGTAATTTTCAGTAGGAAGATTTCATAGCTTGTGCTTTCATCTACACCTTTTTTTTTAATGTTTCTTAACTCGAGAAGAAGGGGAAAAAAGGGGGTCGTAAGGCAAGGGAAATAGTTGCTAATCCTAGTCAAGGTATATTAAATTTGGTAATGCACAGACGTGACATAAGTGTTCAGAATTTGTATATGAATGAAATTAAAAATATTCTGGGAGGAAAAGTTACCTAAATGTCAGAAAAAAAAAAAAAGAAATAGAAGCTATAAAATCCTGTGAAAAATCACATAGACCAGAGTAAGATAGATGTGTGCTGTCTTTACTTAGCAAAGAAATCACAGAGGGTATGCAAATAGAGAATGAAAATGACACATTTTTACTTGATTCGAAAGCATTATCCATAATAGCATCTGCAATGTGTCTGCAATAATAGGGTGTAAATTGGAATTTACATAACAGATCACTGGATACAGGCTCTGACTCACAGCCTGAAAATGGTGTCTCCAATAGGGAAAGTCAACTGATAACAGGAGAACTTCACAAAACACCTATTGCATACTCCAGGATTCACCCATTTGCCCCCCTTTCCTGTTTGTGCAGAGTATTCATCTCAGGCATCTGTTGTAATAAAAACTCAAATAACTGGTCTTGGAGACCTTTGGTTTGTTGCTCCTGATTATGCAAGTCATTTTCTCTGGGATGAATTAAGTTCTTGTGCGCGGTGATAGATTGACAGCCCTAAAAACTGGAAATCCTCTATTTACATTCATCTCCCTCAGCCTGGAATTAATGCCCTGGTTTTGTCTTTGTCTGCAAGCAGACACGTGCCCAAGGCAGCAGGTTTTGGTGTGTACTGTGCCTATCTTCTGCCTCTCCCTTCTGCCTCTCAGCAAAGGGGGCCGAGCCAAGCAGCCGTGGCTGCTGCCCGTTGAGTGGGAAAATGCGTCACCCATTTAACGAAGCCAGCGGTAGGATTCTTCCAGGGTTGTTTTTATTACCTCCATGGCCAGGGCTTCAGTTAAGCGACAGTGCCCAATAATATCCAGCCCGAGGAGAGTCGGATGCCTCGATTCACACGGTGCTGCAGAACTGAGGTCAGACCTGATTTAGTTCTGATATTCCTCATCCGTACAGTCCATGGTCGTTGCTCTGTCCTTCCCTTTAGTTTGCTGGCTGATGTACAGAACTTTTCAGGGCTAAAGAGTGTTAGATCAGAGTCCAGTATGGCATTATTAATTTCGGATGAGCATTGCTAAGTGAGACTTCTGAATACTCCATTAGGTTCCTGGGAATAATCTATTTGTCCAAGTGTAGATGACCAGCACGGATCTCTTCTTTTTGAGCTTGTTATTCTCTGTTGTACTGATATACAATAGAGAGAACAGCACTTTTAAGGTGTTTCTCTGACCTTTCTCAGAGGATAGTGTAAAATTGATTGGGAACCTGAAAGCGCTCCGTTCTCCCCATAGAATATATACACCTAGTCCCACGTCTGCCCTAACAAAGCCAGAACAGAATAACGTCACCTTTGCAATTAACACCTCCTATTTTTTTGCTAGACCACCTCAACCACCTAGGGCTTTTGTATAATCAGCCATAGCTAATGGTAAGGTAGTGTGAGTCAATACAGGGTGAGGAGGGAAGGGATGTGTTATCTCACATATCTTTATATTTTATCGTACACATCTAAATATCCAAGATGCTACAGAGATATTGTAAATACTTTCCCCGTTCCTCTCCTGAAACCAAGTTCTAATCAAGATTTTAAAAGTGTCATTAAACGTCATGGTGGTTTTTCATTCACTGTAATTCAACACTGTGTGTGGTTCATTCAGTTCTGAGCTCTCTAATCAGTATGTTAAGTGTCAGCTTTTCATGATACAGAAGTCTGTCTGGTAAGTATTAGATTGATACCATATACATTTTCTTTCAGATAAGGCATCAGATAAGTGTTGTGCATTAATGACTTACAAGCATAAATCTACTAAAATCAGAAAGTAATGTTTCCTGTATCCCACATCCAGTATGCTGAACTGTCAGTCTTCCCCCTGTTCCATCAAATATTTTAGTTTTATTTCATTTCCAGAAGACATGTGAAAAAAAAAAAAAATCCTTGATACTTAATCAAAAAACTAAAAGTCAGCATTAGGTTAGTCTTTCCTAAATTTTTGCCTTCCTCACTTTACCTCCTTCAGACTGTTGGCTGACAAATACTTTGAGTTTTACTCAAAGTAGCCATATCACTGATATTTACATCTTTCTTCACTGTGTGTTGTTTCATTTTCCTGACACCTCAGTTTTTATGCCACGTGTTTTTTTTTCACTCGGTTTGAGTACGTCTCTAACAATACAAACTATTGGATTTTGTTAAATTGTATAAATCTGACACAGTTTTATGGCTTTCCCTAAACTCAGTCTATGATTAAATGTATTCTCAGTTTTCTTGTTGACTTAGCTATTGAAAGTTCTCTGGCAAAACAGGCAGAACAAACTTCACTGGGAGCTGTATATCCATCATAAAATTGCTCTAAAGTGTTATCTGTCCAGGCTGGTTGTATTTTTCATGCTTTATCACAAATCAGTGTCACAGACAGATTGCAGTTTGCAACCTGCAGTTGTTCATTGGAGTTAACTTGTCTGTCAGGACAGCCTTTTTGCGGTGCTTTAAGCTTTCATAACTTTTGTGCATGAAACTGAACTATTTTTCTAGCTGGCTGGGGGATCAATGCATGTGTCATTAGAGCATATGGAACGAGGCTGTGTTACCCTTTTGAGTTTGATTTAGGATACGTGGCATCCCGGCCTTCATACTTCTTAGGAGTTCCTGCAGAGAAATGAGTGCAGCATGAAACAACTAAAATCGTGAACCTTAACAATATTTTACTTCTGTTATAGATCATCCTCCAAATCTTCAAAATCATTCAAGACTTAGAACTCCACCACCTCCAATATCACACGCTCACACCCCAAATCAACATCACGCGGCCTCCATCAATTCCCTGAACAGAGGGAACTTCACTCCACGCAGCAACCCCAGCCCAGCTCCCACAGACCACTCTCTTTCTGGAGAACAACCAGCCAGCGCTCAAGAGCCAGCCCATGCTCAGGACAACTGGTTACTTAACAGTAACATCCCACTGGAGACTAGGTAGGTCGTTTTCTTTAGCACTTTACTATGTTCTGACTCTGTGTGCTGCTATGGAAAATACACACATCTGTATAGCTAGCTGTTCAGTGTGTGAACTGGTGTTTGGCTTAAGTATTTTGAGTTGTGTTCATTATTCCTTGTGTCTTTTTTATGTGGACTAAGAGAACAGGAAATTGCTCTTCTTTCATAAACTAAAAATACTGCCTTTAACAGCTGCTCATAAGGTTATTTTCCTCATTTAAAATTGGAATCAGGATCACAGATTAAAATGTTCCTCTTCTTTTATTTTCCTTTAATGTTTTTTTTTTTCTTCATATGTGGTAGGATAAATCAATATCCTATTTAAGAAACTGAAATCAGTCAATATATTGAAAAGATTTAGCCTTCTATCTGTGCTTCATAAAGCAGATACTTTTGTAGTACGTCGTTCAGGAAAGGTTGATCTTGATTTATCTGATGAGGAGAGGTCGGCTATAGTATTTTACTGTCCTACAACACTGCTCCAGCAAGTGTGAAGCACTGGATAGCAGGACATCAGCCAATTAATGATGTTTCCATTTAACATTTAAATTCTCTTCCACCTATGCAACACACAAAGGGTGTGACAAGGATGCACTGAGTTGTTCCAGTTTCTAGCTTTGTTAAGGTTCTCTGTGGGTTCTGAAAAAGGGAGTTATCATACTCCCTCAGCCTCGGTCCTCCCATCTGACGGCGAGTGCATCTACTTCTTGCTGTCCACCTGAAACTCAGTTATTACATTCTCCAGAGGTTTTGCTTTGCCATTTCCTTTGCTACTGGGAAGCCACTGCAGATGCTGCGGTCATTAGCCCACACACATGGTATCTTTTTCAGTCTGGAGAGAAGTCTTTCAGGCCTAATGTGGTGCACTTACTTGGCTGCCTTTTTTCCCTCATTCGTCTTACCTTCTCAAACCATCAAGAAAGATTTTAGACAGCAAAAAAACAAACTAACTGAAAACTGAGCCAGGGGCCAAAATTGTCACATCACTGCCTGTGGGAATCTCACTGAGATCAGTGGAAGCTGTGTCTGTATCCTGGAACAAAATGTACCCAGTTTTGCCAGCTTCTGCAAAGAAAATGTTGTGGTTTTTTTTAAATGAGTGCGTCTGTCGATCTTTTTGAGAATGAGTTATGTCTGCTGGCCCTCTGAAACTTCCAAACAGACCTCAATATCACATTTTATGGCATTTAAGGATAATTAATTTCTCCGCGACTGCTTGATTAAAAAGACCCAACTAAGAAGCTGGATCCAAAAGATTAAAACAAAATTATACACAAGTACTGCAAGTGTGATTTGGCAACAGTTGCAGTAATTATATAGTGTTATTAATTCTTGAGCATATATACCCAAGCATTGAATTTTATGTATTATTTCTTTGGGGAAAAAAAAAAAAACAAAAAAAAACCAAAAAAAAAAAAAAAAAAAAATTTAGGCCCCACTCCTGCAGTCCTTTTGTGAATAATCCCCTGTAGTTCTGGAGGAAGACCCGTGCCTTTTTCTAAACCAATTGTGAATTCTTTAGCACCAAGAAAATATACTGATTTAATAGTACCAAGAGATCCTCACATCTGACTGGAGTCTCTCAGAACCCACTGCCTTACAACTGAGAAGGAATGTCCTTGCTGCTGGATCAGTGGAGGAGTGTCAGAGATAAGAGCTCTCTGCTGAAAACATCCAGCCCCCATTTGTCCAATTCTGGTGACAATGAGAGAGGGAGATGGAGACACAACCCTACCACATCTTAATAAATGCAGGAGTTCATAGACAGAACAATTATCTGGCTAGTTCTGGACTGTTCCTGTTCCTGTTCCCTTGTAAATGTGTACATCCTTAAAGACTGCCCTCATTTCTTCTCCATGAAATCATTGTGGGTGAAAATTTTTCAAGATCTGAAGCAAATTCTACACGTTGAGTTGGTCATATAGCTGCTGTTAACCAGACTGGAAGTTGGAGGTCTACCTACCTGAAGAGGTCTTTTCTGCATCATTTAATGATTTCACATCAGTCACATTTCTAATTGATCCTCAGTTTAACCTTTTTTTTAATTAGATAAAAACCAGGTCATTTCAAGACCGATGATGTGGCTTTCGACACGCTGGTTGGAATGACATAATTTTGCCCAGTGTCTCTTCAGACAACAACCATGTTGGAAAAGAATTTGTAATTTTATGTCAAACAGCAAATGAGCAAATATACAAAGCACAACTGACGGTCTTTTTTTCCTTCACCAAACAACATTAAGAAAACAAAACGTGTTATAATGGTGCCATAATGCAAAGAGGCTGTGCTGCATAGATGATCAGTAAATCTGTGACAAATCTCCACTCTAATAGTCTGCTTTACCAGCATGCAGAGATCTTCCATTTCCTTCAGTGGAAATTCTGTAGACGTAAAAGACTGGGTTTCAGTTTAGCAAACTTGGATGACCACTTCTGTCTCTTCCATGAAGTCAACCCTCCGCACTGCAAAGATTTATAGAACCAAAAAAAGACCACCACATAAGAGAATAAAATGTCCAATACATAAAAAAAAAAAATAAAAATCCTGGACAAGAGACATTAATCCAAGAATTAAGGCCTTTGAAGTATAGCATAGAAGATTATAGTAATCTCATGTCAAAAATGGAATTGTATTTCTGTTGAATATCCGTTTGTTTTTTTTTTTTTTAAATCCTATATTAGTCAACAGAGAGAGAAAACGTGAAGAAAAAGCTACGTCTTTTAAACAGGGATTGTCACAGGCTGTGAAACATGCCTACAGTTATAGATTTTGAGCACCCCAGAGTTTGAAGAAGCTTGATTTTGACTGCCAGGGACTCCAGGGAGTATTCAGAACTGGGAATTTAGGATGGTTTGTCACTGCCTGGAATTTTCCATCCTGTAATGCAAAGGCAAGCAGAGATGTGTAGCACAAGTATACACCTGACACGACAAGCAGATCCTGTATCTGAGAACTTTATATGTTGCAAGAGGAAGAGCCCCTCCTCTTCTCGCCCTCCTTTTCATTAGTTTCCCTTTACTCCCTTTTCTCTGTTTCTCCTTTTTCCTCTCTTTTCCTGTCTGCCTCCTTTTTTGTTGCTTTAAAAGCAATATATTATCAAGGTTGTCATGAGAAGATCTTTGCTCAGCAGTCACTCCTGACAGGTAAGTCAGTTCCTCCCATATTTACTCCTCACTCTTCCTTCTGTGGCCTCCTTTCTGTTCCTTTACATTTGACCTTGTGGGAGCAAATAAATGCCAACTAGATGGACATTCGCTTGACAAACCAACGGTTTTCAGGAGACTTCCATTCCGAGGAAATTTCATGTGGTAATCATGTAAGGTCAGATTCTGCCACCACAACTGATAATGAGAAGGGAGAGTGTTTTGTTACTAGTCAGCTGTTCACAGGTAATCTCCAAGGGAGCAGACTCTGTCCAGCCTCAGTGAGGACAGTCATGCATTAGTCACCTCAGTGACCCAGCGACCTCTCTGTTACAAATACATACATTACAAGTTATATAACCCTCCCCTCTTCTGTTTTATTGACAATCCACAACTGAAATTCATGGAACCAATTTGACATGGATTTTAACTACTGATGAACTTCTATTGATTGGTGTGTTGCTAGATGCGTTGCCTCTTACCCATTAAATGCTCAGTGCATGCCCATATGTTGCTTCTTTTTGCATTGAATTCAACATCCAACCTTTCCTGCATTCCCAGGGAATGTGAGGAAGCTGCTAACACTTCGGGATGGATTGATGTCTCAAGTGCAATGGCACACAGCTCATGCATGTCGCTCCACTTTACTCCAAAGCTATGAATAGGAGTCACTTTACTTTCATGCAGATCAAGGAGTAGATCTGTTCTGTCAAAGCAGCCCAGAGGCCCCCAAAAGCAGTGAGTCGAGTGAAACCAGTGCTGGCATTAGCAGCAGGAAGAGGAGGAAGTAGAAATGAAAATTAAGGTTGAGGACATTTTAGAAGAGACAGTATGAAGGTTTGTATAATGTGACAGGGCTGGTTTCTCTTGGTATAGCATGCTACCTGAATCCCATTTCTTTGACAGAGGAGTTCTCGTTTGAGTTCACATCATGTCACTTATATCCTCTAAGCGCTTAATCCTGCATAAGTGATAAAGTGTCACAATGCTTTTATGTTCCTTTTGCTAGGTTTGGCCAGGGAATTTATTCACATTCAGGCTTAGATTCAGTTTTGATGCTGAAAGCAGACATGGGCAAAATCAGGACTGTTTTTTGTTTTAAAAAAGATGGGAAGAATGTTCTTTTGCCAAGGCTTGAGAAACAAGCCTGAAGGTGAGAAAGACACAGTCTGTTCCCAGCTGTGCCTCTGACTTAATTCTTTATGTTCCTGCTATCCTCCTCAAAAAGTACAAAGTAGTTTAGCATACATAGGTCAAAATGTGACTCATCAAAGTACATGACAGGGAGGCCAGATACTGCAAAATGCCACTATTGCAAAGCCTAAACCAGGCTTTTTCACGTGCAGGCCCTAAGTATCTTGCCTGTTGCCTGTATTATCCAGATTACAGCTGGTGCTCTGGTATTGGGATTTGGGTTACAGCATAACCTTTTTCCAGCCTCTATCTACTTATCACTGACAGACTTGTATTTGGAATACTCATAATTGAGCCAAACTTGCATTTTTGAAACTTCTACATAACAAGTTATTGCTCCACAAAGAAAGCAAATTAATCAAATTGGTAATTAAAAAGTTCTCAAATGCCAAACTGAAATGTAAGCGAAGGAGTGGCAGATTTCCGCTGGAAATCCATGAGGATGTTAGATGGAAGTGTGCTACCAAGGTATTGGCCACCGTGGGATATAGATACTGTGCTGTGCCTTGTCAGAGCAACAAGTAACACAGATGCAGGCGGTTACAGCTGTGCTGGACTGAAATCTAGTCTCTTGGATCCAGCAATTCAGAAGGTTTCATGTGTCACCAGCAATAAATAATGTGAAATGAACAAAGACATCAACTTTTTTTTATACATGCACGTGGGCGTGTGTGCTTATATGTGTGTAAATGCATATATATAGTGTATATATAGAGAAGTGAACATTCTTAAAAGCTATATATGTATATGTGTAGCATCTTATACATATAAATATATGGTCCATCATTCTAATTCCATGCAAAACTGCACTATAATAACCATTGTGGTTTATAAGATCACACTTCATATATGCATGACTCACTGGCTTCATTCATGTTTCCATATGTATGTAGAAACATAGCAAAGCAGACATTCCTAGAGACATTGCAGGACAACCTCATTGAGATGGACATTCTCACCTCCTCCCGACATGACGGTGCTTACAATGATGGGTATGTGACACTTACGTGGTCTTCCTGTTTACTGTACAGTCATTATGATCCTTGCATGAAAGCATTTGGTCGTATCAGTGATGTTTAAGGGCAACACCATTGCTGGCCTCTTCCAAGATGGCTTTAAAAAAATGAAGTTCTGGGGCTTGGAGCACTGCGTCCTGTACATATTAATGAGAGCCTCATTAATATGCTAGTGAGCCACAGCATGCTGTTTGCATTTTTTTCCCTTGTTGTTTTGAAAGTAATTTCATTAGTAAGAAGTACCTACAGCAATTTTGAGTCCCATGTAAGCTAAGATTAATTGAATTTTCGTAAAAACCTTAAACCACTATTGTGCTGGCAGCCTGATACTTCCTTGTTAAACTGATACTTTCCACATACCTTTATCTTACAAGTGTCTGCTCGTGGTGTATGTAAGCCAAGCCTTTGATTTTGACTTAACCACTATTTTGGCATCTTTACCTAACTTTTGATCATTTTCAAGTTCTAAACAGCTTTTAACTTGACACTTAGTGCCAAAACTGTTGACCTTGTGTGGCCGTTTCTAATTTGGTAGCCATCATTAACTGAAGATCTAATTGGTGTGCTTGAACACTGCAGGTACCTCTTTGCTCAGAACAGATACATCTGTGTCTAAATAAATACTTTCCAAAACACAGGATAGTATCTGACTCTGTTAAAATTAATGTTTTGTTGTAGAGCATTAATAGAAATAATGACCCTTTCTCTAATGCTCAGCAGTCATGCTTACAATACCAGTAGAACCATGGCTGTAACACTACAAACACCTATTTCGGAAAATTATGTGTTACTTTACTGGCTTTTCTGCATGGTGATGTTTCTGCATGTGACATTTGCCCCTGTGTCTGCGCAAGTGAATTCAAGGGGAAAATAGAGTCACATCTTCATCTGGTATAATCCACTGGCTTGACTGACTCCCATGGATCCATGCTGACTGCATTTATACTGGCTGCAAATCCAGGCCCGTAAACCATGGCAGAAGGTGCAGACTGCACTGGGGCTGTTTCTCAGTCCTCACAAGCTGGATTTTTGTTTTACATCAGCATGGTGATAGACGATTCAGATCTGTTTCCCAAGTTTCATTCCCGGAATTTGAATGGCTTTGTACTTCATGATGTCCCACTCAAATTTAAGTTTTTCATTTAAGATTCCCATGGAGAGAACTCCCATTGGGACATTTCATTTCAGGAACTCATGGACTGCAGTGGGTCCTTTTTGTGCTGACTTTCCTGAGTCTCACACAAGGTCCTCATAGGCTGGCGCTCAGGCTGCGTTTGTAGTAATGGGCAAAATTCGGTGCTTCCCAATGTGTCACTGGACAGGGAACCCTGTTGCTTTGACAGTAATTCACACGTTTAAACGTAGGCATCAAATTAAGGTGTTCTTGACTGCTTTCTGGAAGCAGGTGCCTCTCCCCACTGGCAATACGCAGGACTTGCATTCTGGGCTTTGGTGCTTTTGGCCATGCCGTTGTCTGACACTTAAATTTGCCATGTGGGGACAGTGTGAATTTTCCCCTCCGTGACAATTTGGGTGCTACGGAATGGCTTAAGCTCTCTTTCTGCATCTCCATTCACCGATGCCATACAAAAAACGCTCTCATGCAGTGATCAATGAATTGGTAAACACCCTCCTCTCTTTAATCCGACCTACGCTCCTCTTCAGTCTCCGTAGGGCGTTTCTGTGGGAGCGTGAGCAGGCCCCCGGTGCTGCCCGTGCCACCAGTCTGTCGTAGCTGTGCTTGGGGTATTCATCTCACTCTGGTGCCAGCTCTTCCACAGAGGGGACTCCTGCCCTTCAAGAGTTCTCTGTGGCATTGTTGGCTTTGTGGTTTTGTTATGTTCTGTTTTCCTTTACTCTGTGTGACTTGCCTTTGATTTTTATTCTTCTCCTTCGTGCATGCCATCCATGTCCGTAGCCAGCGTTGTGTGGAGCTGCTTTCCTCGTCCCAGCAGCAGTCACCATCTTCCCACCCCACGTCTCCCTCGGCTTCAATTTGTGTGAGGAGTCACTTGCTGTTGGTCTTTCTTCCCTCAGGCACTTCCTGTTCAAACCTGGAGGCACTTCTCCCCTTTTTTGTACAACATCGCCAGGATATCCCTTGACGTCCAGCACTGTGTACTCACCTCCCCCTAGGCCCCTTCCCAGAAGTACCTTCTCTAGGCCTGCCTTTAACCTGAAGAAACCCTATAAGTACTGTAACTGGAAATGTGCTGCTCTGAGTGCCATTGTCATCTCAGTCACGCTGGTGATCCTGCTGGCATATTTCATAGGTAAGCTTATTTCTGTTTTGTTTTTTTTTTTTTTCCTGCTTTTCTTTCATTTCTCTACAAACCCACCCATAACACTAATGTATGGGAAGCAGAGGGCCAAGATCGTGGTAAAAAGTGATGGGAAAGTGATGAAATAAGGCCTCCGTTGACTTAATTGTGGTTGCAGTGCTGTGGTAGGGAGCCTAACACATGTCATAGAGCCAGGAGAGCTTAGTAAATCATGAGTCATATGTTGTGCTCCCTTCAGTTGCACAGAATGCTTACATTCTGCAGAGGAAGGTGTACATGGAGTGAAACAAACCCACCAGGTTTTCTCAAAGCAGCCCATTAAAACAGTCAGCGAAGCCCATGTACCAATCACAGTCACATCCAGGTCCGTGGGAGTTCTCTGCTCTTGACTTTGATGGGACAGGGTCAGAACCAAGATCCCAATACACAAAAATGAGGGTTTAGTCTATTTTTTGGTGGTACATCCTTGCTATTTATATTGAAGGTGATAGGGTGACCGGGAGGATGGAGGTCTGAATTTAGATTGTGGTCCCACAGGGCCTTTTTTTGAGTAGGGGGAGTTGGGGAAATTTGCTGCTTGGGTGCCAAAGCAGTGGATTTTTCTTTAGCAGTGCACGATCTGAATTTCTTTGGTTTATAAGGGTTGTCAGTGTTTATTGCAAAAAAAAAACATTCTCAGTGTTTGTTGCAAAAGTAATTGAACTGTTAGAAGTGAAAATTGTATTTTTCAGCCTGTAAAGCTAGGGTGTTACCATTACTTTTCCTTCAGTTAGATTTGATATTTGTGTTATAAATGTCTTACAAAGGTCCGTTCCTAGACTTCTATTTTAAACTCTCAGTGGTGCAACCTCTAGTCGTCAGAGACTTACAGATGTGATCATGGGTAAAAAAGCCCATTTCTCATGACACAAATGAGTCTTTTTGATTTCGCTGTGACTTCCTGTACACTAATGATCTATAAAAGCTTGTGGTTAGAATTACAAATCTTAGCCTGGATCGAAAGATTTTTGCTTTCATTTCACATGAGTATAATTAGCACTACCACAAAGGATTGCTTTTACTGTGTTCCTTTTATGTACACTTCTTTAATGACTGATACTTTTCCACTTCTGCCTTGCATCATACTCTGGTCACTTTTATGTCTCCTGTAAGAAGAGCAGGAATGATTAATTAACCAACATTAAATCAGCAGCAGTTTGATGAAATATGCAGTCAATTTTCATCATTTGCTATGTACATTTGGACTCGCCTTTCTCATTTGTCTGGTATTCTCCTTATGCCCCGAACACGGTTCCTTTGGACATTATCTCAGTGTGTCAGAGGAGTATCGTTATAACTCAGAGGAGCAGTGCCTGTTCATTCTGACAGAGTAGGTGTGTGCTGTTTGATAGATTGAGAAGAGTTCGTTTTGCCACTCGGTATTCTCCAACTCCAAAACCTTTTTCAGAGTTCCGAAAAGATCAGGATCCTGTTTAAAATCACAGTTAATGTGGTTAAAAGGTAGGTCCACTGAGTGCTCTCCCATCTTTTTCTTCTTCATTCAAATGAAATCTCTGGCATTTGCCAGACTCCACGGATGGCTGGCAAGGTGCCAGAAATGCTGATCAGGTTGAACTGCTGTAATTATGGGTCATAATTACTAATTTCTAAAGGAACTATCAATTATTAAAAATCAAATTCGATGGTTCAGTTCAGCATAAACATATTTAGCAAAGATTGTCACTACCAGACCCAGTGTTCTAATCAACAAGCAAAAAGGCAGATATTTAATTAGATTTTGATGAAAAATTGTGTTTAATTTCAAGTATAATCAATTATTAATTACTGTAATGAGTGACTCTGGTGGGGTTTACTAATTAACTCATTTAAAAATTATGAATAACCTTTTCATTTGTAATTATTTTCTACATCCTGTCAAGTTGGAGACAAGAATTGTATCACCTAACCCAAAGGAAAAAAAATGAATCGGGGAGTCAAAATGTTTGTACTTTCACTAACTTAAGATGAGATACTTTGCATTTTGATAAAAACCCATGCAGTTCTTAACAGGAACTGATTTGTTCTTTAAAATGACCTGGTCTGTTTGCAAAACAAATTACTGTTTTTCCTCCGGTTTGTGGGGGGTTTCTCCCTGTATTTGCGTAGTTGCGTTTTCTTACAGATATCTTTCCTCATTTAAGCAGTATCTTGCTCTTTTCAGTGCCATGGGGACTATTTGAGTGGTAAGGTATAACTTAATCATGAGTAAGAAGGTCTAATCTATATAACAGTTCATGAGTGTTGGGAATTTGGCTACTTTCCAGCTGCTCTTGTTAGTTAAAACAACCATAGAAATTATCTTTTTAATGACCATTTTCATCCTCCAAAGCAAACTGAGGTCATTGGAAAGACTCCCAGTTAAGTGAATGGACTTTGGATTGAGTCCCATGGCAGTGGCTTGGCATTTACTCTATTTTTTCAAACACTGATCAGTTAATGGAAATACTTCAGAGTAATATCCAGGGGTTCAGGATGCTCTTCACAGTATCAGGAACATCACAGTCCTCCATTTAATTAATAATAAAAACTACAGGCAGGCCTTACCTACCTGTACAAGCGTGTGGAGCTAGAGACATCAGGGGATACATGAGGGACCCTGCTACTGGCAATACTTTTTGTGTGGCAGATGCTCAGACACAACTGCGATGGGCAACCATCTGAGGCAGGCAGAGCTGCATGGAAACAATGAGGCATTGGGTCATTTCTGAAGTTTTTTGCTGAAGCCAGTTTATTTTTTAAATTCATCTGAAGCACTTGCTAAATCATTTGTTTAAAGCTAAAAAGCAGAGTTTCCATTATTTTATGAAAGTCTTTATGGTATTTAATAGTCTGAGGTTCATTTATCTTGCTTGCTTTTTTTTTTTTTTTTTTTCAAAAGAAGAGAGGAGGCATAAATAGAAGTCCATGGAAGCTGAACGGCTGGTATCATTTGTCAACACTGTGATCAAGCTGAAGGTTTTACAGGGCTGAGTCACTGGTCTGGAGAGATAATGACAAACAAAATATAACAGGGTGTATTAAACACCAGAAGCTGGTTTTCATTTGAATTAACCAGCTTTTGATTGACTTGTTGCCACCTTTTCAAATATTCAGAGACACACACTAAGGCAGTGGCAACAATGCACATCAAAATTTTGCACACACAGAGCTTATGCAAATCTCATGAGCTCCACAGAAGCTTGTCTCATGGGGTGAGAAAACCAAAGAGAAAAGCAGTGGCAGATTGGGGCTGTAACATTAAAATGGCAGGAACGACACTGCTGGAACCACTGAAATGAAAGGCCTCTTTTAAGCAGCTTGTAACTGACCTGCAAATTTGCTGTTCCAGGAGGTTGTGAAGAGACACCACTTAAAAATTAAATCCCGCATTTTAGGACTGTCCGTTCAATTGACAGCTAAACAAGGAAAATTTTCACAGCTTTTGCTGGGATGTGATGGGGTCTGTATGCCAGGGAGCTCTGCCTTGGAGGGCTCATTCATAGTGAAAATCTTATGGCAGAGATAATACCATGAGGTATGTTGTTATCCAAGTACTATTCCAGAAGAGTTTCTGTACCTGGTAGATGCCAGACCTGCTAGCATAGCACCGTGAAGAATCTCTGACATTGCTGTACTGCTTGGAAGTAAGATTTACAGAATCACAGAATCATCTAGGTTGGAAAAGACCTTGAAGATCATCCAGTCCAACCATTAACCCAGCACTGACAGTTCCCAACTCCACCAGATCCCTCAGCGCTATGTCGAGACGACTCTTCAACCCCTCCAGGGATGGGGACTCCGCCACCTCCCTGGGCAGCCCATTCCAACACCCAACAACCCCTGCTGGAAATAAATGCTTCCTAATATTTAGTTTAAACCTTCCCTGGCACAACTTGAGGCCATTACATCTTGTCCTATCACATATTACTTGGTTCAAGAGGCTCATCCCCAGCTCTCTGCACCCTCCTGTCAGGGAGCTGTAGAGAGCGATGAGGTCTCCCCTCAGCCTCCTCTTCTCCAGACTGAACCCCCCCAGTTCCCCCAGCCGCTCCCCAGCAGACCTGTGCTCCAGACCCTGCCCCAGCTCCGTTGCCCTTCTCTGGCCACGCTCGAGTCATTCAATGGCCTTTTTGTAGTGAGGGACCCAAAACTGAACCCAGGAATCGAGGGGCGGCCTCCCCAGTGCCGAGTACAGGGCTCAGATCCCTTCCCTGTCCCTGCTGGCCACGCCAGTGCTGACACAAGCCAGGATGCCATTGCCCTCCTTGGCCCCCTGGGCACACTGCTGGCTCATGTCCAGCCGGCTGTCAATCACCCCCCCCCAGTCCCTCTCTGACTGGCAGCTCTCCAGCCACTCCTCCCCAAGCCTGTAGCCCTGCTGGGGGTTGTTGTGGCCCAAGGGCAGCCCCCGGCATTTGCCCTCAGTGAAACTCCCCCAGTTGGGCCCAGCCCATGGCTCCAGCCTGTCCAGGTCTCTCTGCAGAGCCTCCCCACCCTCGAGCAGATCAACACTCCCACCCAGCTGGGTGTCACCTGCAAACTGACTGAGGGTGCCCTCGATCCCCTTGTCCAGATCATCAATAAAGATGTTAAACAGGAGTGGCCCCAAAACCGAGCCCTGGGGGTCACCTCTCATGACCAGCTGTCAATGGGATTTAACTCCGTTCACCACAACTCTTTGGACCCGGCCATCCAGACAGTTTTTACCCAGCAAAGCGTGTGCTCATCCAAGCCTTGAGCAGCCAGTTTCACCAGGAGAATGTTGTGGGAAATGGTGTCAAAGGCCTTACTAATGTCAAGGTTAACAACACCCACAGCCTTTCCCTCATGCAATAAGCAGGTTGCCCTGTCGTAGGAGGAGATCAGGTTTGTCAGGCAGGATCTGCCTTTCATAAACCCGCTGACTGGGCCTGAGCATCTGGCTGTCCCTCCTGTGTTGTGTGATGGTACTTAGGATGCGCTGCTCCATCAGC